CGGGACAATTCTCCTAGACCTTCACAGAAGAATTAACACCAATATTCCTCAAATTATTCCACAAAATACAAATGGAAGGGATATGAGGGCACAATTATCCCAATACCTAAACTATACAAAGACCCAACAGAGAAAGAGAATTACAGACCAATATCCCTTATGAACACAGATACAAATATTATCAACTAAATACTTACAAACCAAACCCAAGAACACACTAGAAATGTTATGTGCTATGATCAACTTGGCTTCATCCCAGAGAGGCAGGAATGGTCCAAGATACATAAACCAATAAATGTAATACATGCATAAACAGACTAAAAGACAAAACCTAATGATCATCTCATTAGATGCATAAAGTCTTCTGACAAAAATCCATCATCCCTTTGTGATAAAATCCTAAAGAGACTAGAAATACAAGGGACATACCTCAGCATAATAAAAGCAGTTTACAGCAATTCCACAGCCAAGGCTAACCTAAACAGGGAGAACTTGAAGCATCTGCACAGAAATCAGGAAAAAGACAAGGATGTTCACTCTCTCCATATCTATTTGGTATAGTACTTGAAGTCTCAGCTAGAGTAATTGGACAGCTGAAGGACATCAAGAAGATACAAATAGAAAAAGAAGTCAGTGTTTTATTTGCATTGATATAACTCTATACATAAAAAGTCCTAAAAGCTCCATTGAAAACTTTCCATGCTAATCCCAGCACTTGGGAGGCAGAGGCAGGCTGATCTCTGTGAGTTCAAGCCAGCCTGGTCTACAGAGTGAGTCCCAGGACAGCCAAAGCTGTTACACAGAGAAACCCTGTCACAAAGAACAAAACAAAACAAAAAAAAAAAAAAAACTTTCCATGGTGAAAAACAATTTCAATAAAGTAGCAACATAGAAAACACACAAAAATCAGTAGCTTTCCTATGTACAACTGTCAAACTGAGAAAATAAGGAAACAATACCTTTCACAATAACCTCAAAAAATACCTTGGGGTAACTCTAACCAACAAGTGAAAGACATGTATAATAAAAACTTTAAGACAATGATTAAATAAATTAGATGTCAGAAAATAAAAAGATTTCTCATACTCATGGGGTAGGATTAACATAGTGAAAATGGCCATCCTACCAAAAGTAATCTACAGATTTAACACAATCCCCATCAAAATTCCAATTTCTTCACAGAAATTGATAAAACAATTTTCAGCTTCATATGGAAGCTCAAAAAATACAGGGTAGCTAAAAGAATAAAACAATTCTGATCAATAAGAGAACTGGAAATAGTCACACCCCCAATCTCAAGTAGCACTACAGAGCTGTAGTAATAAATAGCAGCATGGCATTGGCACAAGAACAGATATGTTGATCAATGGAATCGAATTGAAGGCCCAGACTAAGTCCACACACCTATGGACACCTGAGGGTTTTTTGGTGGTGGTTGTTTGTTTGTTTGTTTGTTTTGTTTTTAACAAAGAAGCCAGAAATGCACATTGGAAAAAAAAAAAGAGAGAGCATCTTCAATAAATGGTGCTGGTCAAACTAGATGACTGCATATAGAAGAATACAAATAGATCCATATTTATCACCCTGAACAAAACAAGTCCAAATGGATTAAGGACCTTGGCATAAGGTTCTGATCCTGATGTGATCAGTGGAGAATAGTGTTGAACTCATTGGCAAAGGAAAACACTTTCTTAACAAGATACTAGTAGCACAGGCACTAAGACCAACAATAAATGGGACCTCATAAAACTGAAAAGCTTCTGTATGGCCAAGGACATCATCAATTGGGCATAGGCTATATACTGTGATAAGTTCTTTACCAATCATAAGTAATATACAATTTTTAAAAATGGGGTACAGAACTAAACAAAAACAAATGGTTGAGAAACACTTAAACAAATGTTCAACATTTTTAGTCACCAGGGAAATGAAAATCAAGACTACTTTGAGATTTTATCTTATACTAGTCACAGTGGCCAAGATCAATAAAACAAATGACAGCTCTTGCTGGTAAGGATCTGGGGAAAGGAGAACCCTTATTCATTGCTGGTAGGAGTGCACTCTTGTGCAGCCACTATGGAAATCAGTGTGGTGGTTCTTCAGAAAGCTGGAAATAGCTCTACTTCAAGAGCCAGCTATACTACCCTTTGGCATAAACCCAAAGGACTCTATCTGCTACAGCAGAGATACTTATTCATTGCTGCTCTATTCATAATAGCCAAAAATTTACAATAGCCTAACTGTCTATCAACTGATAATGAAATGTGGTACATTTACATGACTGACTGTTATTCAGCTATTTTAAAAAGTTATTAAATTTGCAGATAAGTGAGTTAAAACTAGAAGAAAAAATCATCCTGAGTAAGGTAACCCAGACCTAAAGAGACAATATTGTATATTTTATCTTATATATGGTTGTTAGCTTTTAAGCTTTCGATATGTATTCTATAATCTGTATAACCATGGAGGTTAGGTGTCTAGTTAGGGACTAGGGAGAAGGAGAGGATCTTCCAAGAAAAGGGATATAGGATGTATTGTTTTGAAAAGACAGTGGCGAGCCTGGAGTGTTGAACTAAATGGAGAGAAAAAAGATAGGGGTGAGAGAATGTGGGGAGGGACAACTGATACTAAGAGGCATTTGAGGGGCCATATGGAAACTTACAACTATAGAAGCTTCTTAGAATGTATATATACATATTCATATGTAAGAAATCTAAATGGAGTCATCAAATAATGGAGAGACAATGCCCCAACTAGATATCTTATGCCTCCAAGTAAAGCCTTCAGTACTTGGTTTTGGGTTATATCTATTGAGTCACTGGCCAAAGTAGCACCAAGGAAATTCCCAAACATCTCAGGCTATTGCCAGAGCCATTGGTTGCTCTCCAGAAACTAATGGTAAAGCCCTTTTGCTGAAACAGCACTTACATAATTCATCAAACATGGAGAAGTAAAGCTGGTGCTTAACTAGAGGCTTCATCCCTAAAGATTGACATCCATGGTACTGGAGAGTGCTCTTAAATGCTGCCAGAGGATAAAGGTAACTATCAACCTAGCTACAAACCCTGCAATCTGCAACTGTGATCTTCCAGCAAGATATGCTGGTGCATTGGTGGCACAAACATTGTGGGAGTAGCCAACCACTCTGATTGCTTTGTAATTAAGCACATTCCATGAGATGGAACCCATATCTGACACTGCTGTGGTAACTAAGAACCCCAGACTAGAAAGGCCATAGGCCTAAGGGAAAACCTAATACTATTATTCTTCTAAAGCAATAGTTCTCAACCTTCTTAATGATGTGACCCTTTAATACAGTTAGTTCCTCATGCTGTGGTGATCCCTCAACCATAAAATTATTTTTGTTTCTACTTAAAAACTGTAATTTTGCTACTGTTATGAGTTTTAAATATCTGTGTTTTCCTATAGTCTTAAGCCACTCCTGTGAAAGGGTCTTTCAGTCCCCAAAGGGGTTGTGACCCACAGCTTGAGAATCACTGTTCTGAAGGGACTGTAGCAATATCTCCTAATAAGATTCTGTTATACCTGTAAATTGCTCCCTGATTCAGCCATCATCAAAGAAACAACTTCTTGTAGTAGGTGAGAACTAACTAGAATTGTAACTGGACAATATTCAGAGAGTGGGAGATTTTGGAACACACATTCTTAAGTGGATATCTTATCTTCATCAAGCCATCCCCTCGGGGCTTAGGGAGCTGCATGGAGAAAGGCAGAAAGATTGTAAGAACTAGAGAAGATGGATGACTTCAAGAAAACAGTGTCCTCCAAACAGGACAAATTCACATGTGAATTCATAGAGACTGTGGCAGCATTCTCAGTGCAGGCACAGGTTCATGACAGAGGTGGTTCCACTGATGAGAAAGGGATGTGGACATGACCTCCCAACTCTAGCCAAGAAGCTGACTGTATTTGGTATCTGCTTGTAACTGAAGTTATTTTTCTCCAGTGGAGCTCATAGGCTTTATTAACCATACTTCAGGGGAGGCCTTATACCTAGCAGTAGGTATCTAACACACAATAAACTCAATGGTATTTTTGTAGATTTTTCTGTTTCACATTGCTTTGGTTGGCTTTTTTTTTTTTGTCTTATTGTCTTATTGGTCTTTTGCTTGTATATTCTGGTGTGTGTGTGTGTGTGTGTGTGTGTGTGTGTGTGTGTGTGTGTGTGTGTGTGTGTGTTTCCTAGTTTTTGTTCATGGTTTACTTTTTGTTTGTTTATTTGAAACAGATGAAAGGGTATGAATTTGAGTGGGTAGAGAGGCTATGGAAAAAAAACTTTTCAATAGAAAAAAACATGAGGTTTGGACTTGGATTTGTTTTTAACAAACATGTAGCCATTTTCCAGCAAATATATCTTAGCAGACATGTTCTGAGACTCAGGCTTCTCCCCTTTTTATATATGGAGTAGTAACATCTGTCTTTTAGGACTAAACATAGTGGCTGGCACAAAATGTGCAGGAAATGTTCATTCCTTTCTTGTCTCCAGAAAGATAGTAAACTTAGGATAATAATGGCAAATACCTGAGTGGTAAAAAAAAAAATTTTGGCTTTTGGCTTTTGGTTTTTCAAAATAGGGTTTCTCTGTGTAGCTCTGGCTGTCCTGGAACTTGCTCTGTAGACCAGGCTCGTCTCTAAATCACAGAGATCCACCTGCCTCTGCCTCCTAAGTGCTACTAAAGGTGTGTGCCAGAACTGCCTGCTGGCTAGTAATTTTTCAAGAATTAAGAAATGTTTTTGTTTTGTTTTGTTTTGTTTCAGCCAGAGTTGCATATAGCTAGGACCAGCCTCAAATTCACTATATAGCTGAGGATGACTTTGAACTTCTGTTCCTTCTTCCCTGCCGCCCCCCCCCCAACCCCAGTGTTGCTGTGGTGGAGATCGAGCCTCTTGTATGCTATGCAAGCACTCTACTAACATTTGTTATCTCCAGCCCTTCTGTGAATACTCAAAAGCAGTGCTTATTTGGTATGCCTTTGCAGATAATAAAGAAGAAGTTATCTTGTTTACATCATGGATAACACAAAGGAAAAGAATAATTGCAAAGACGATCTTCTGCTTAGGATGGGACTAAATGATAATAAAGCAGGAATGGAAGGACTAGATAAAGAGAAAATTAACAAAATTATAATGGATGCCACAAAGGTATGTTCTTGCTTCTTTCAGTATCTATGATTTAATTAGGATTAAAACCATTAGGTTTTAGTTTATTATCCTTTTTATTAGTTAAAAATGTTTTAATATATCACTAAGATATGAAATATATAAATGCTTTTCAAATCTGTTGTTCTTGTTACCAAGCTTTCTACATTGAATTTATATAATATGCATATAAAAGCAAAAGAATGCACATGTTTTTTCTTGTTTTTACCCCTTGTAAATGAATATTATAATTGGATAGTGACTATATACTTGCTTATGTGAATATAGTTTATTGATCTAATTAGAATTGTTACTGATTGATATATAAGTCATAAGTCATTCCTAATCATCTAGCTAGCTATCTAGCTATCTAGCTATCTATCTATTTTGAGGAAGGGTCTCAATATATATCCCTGGCTGTCCTGGTAGTCATTATGTAAACCAGGTTGGCTTTGAACTCATGGAGATCTGCCTGCCTCTGCTGGGATTTAAGGCATATGCAACCATCACCTGGCTACATTTACTAATCTTAAGTAAGTCAACTATAAAAAAGATATCTAGAAGTGGAATTGCTCTACAAAATACAGATAGATAGATATAATTTTACAAGTTACTAAATTATTCCCCATCACCAGTTTGTCAATTTATATCTCTCCCTTTATTATATGACATCACCATATCAAGACTGCATATTTCTGAGTGTTTTGATTTGCCAAGTTGAGACAACTGTTGAACATTAACAACTCGATCAAAAAATGGTCAAAAGATATGAATAGGCATTTAATTGAAGAAGATATGCATATGTCTCAAACATGAAAAGATACTCAACATCATTAGTCAGTAAAGAAATACAACTTAAAAAACCATGGGGAGGTGCCAATCACACTATTATTGGCCAGAATAGCTATAATAAATAATACAATCAAAAATGTTAGCAGGGCAGGGATATGGGGAAATTGGAACCTTCATATGCAGTAATGGAGTAATGATTCAGTCACTGAAAACAGTTTGACAGTTACTCAAAGTGTTAAACATGCATTACCATAAGACACAGAAATACCCTTATAGATGCATATTAAGAGGACTGACAATATAAGTCCATGCTAAATTGTTTATAAGTCTCTGTAGCAACATTTTTCATGAGAGCCAAATGTAGAACCAACTTAGTGCCTGCAACCTGTTAAGTTAGTAGCCACTGTGTTTTGTGGTGGAACAACAGATGGTTCAGTGTCTTGCATTGTGCTGTTTAATGACTTGCTACTAAAATTGTGAAAGGAGACAGGTGAAGGAGATAACAGAGGAACTAGCTGGCAAAGCTTGTATATGCCCCCATGGACTCTACCACAGATGACATTTTTTATTTTTTTATTTTTGTTTTTGTTTTGGATCCAAATCTTAACTCAGATTGTAGTATTATCTCACAGGAATTATATGATTTAGCTGTGTGTGTGTGTGTGTGTGTGTGTGTGTGTGTGTGTGTGTGGACTTTAGGGACTCAAGCTTGCTAGAGAAGCACTCTTTACAGATAGGGAAACTGACACAGAAAGGTGAAGTAGCTTTCCGATCCCAGTCTGCCTCCAGACTCTTGGCCACTAAGTCACCGAAGCCATCTTTCCTCCTGTGCTTCTCTTCTGCTTTGTTTCCTCTCTAGGGGTCCAGATTTTATGGAAATGAGCTCAAGAAGGAAAAGCAAGTCAACCAACGGATTGAAAGTATGATGCAACAAAAAGCTCAAATTACCAGCCAGCAACTGAGGAAAGCACAGTTACAGGTATTTATTGAGTTGCTAAGGTGAAGTTGGTAGACTAGGAATTAACAACAAAAGTGCATCATCGTCAAGTCATAACTTCAAACAAGGGGAGTCGCAAGTGTTCGTTACATTGCAGGCATACCTATTCAGCAGCACATGTACTTCTCTAAGCGTTGCTCTGCACCCTTCCCTGTGTAGAAGGATAAATGTTGTCTTAGCTAACTTGCCTGACTTCAAAGGACATACAGTTAACAGAATTAGGATTTGGCCCATAGTCTATGTTGTATTATATATGTGCTTTGCAGCTAGATAAATCTATAAGACAAATACAGCTAATTTGGGGAGTGGAACTGAGGGGAGGGCTAACTCTTTAGAGTAACCATGTTTTAGTAAAATAAAAAGTAGTACTACAAGTTAAATACCAAATGTACACAAAATTTTTTGAATGAAACAATATTTCTAAGAACCTAGAGGTTTTTGTGTTCTCCAGAATTTGGGGGGAATGAATAATTCAAAGTTTCTCTCAGCTACTGAAAGTTATTTCAGTAGAAAAGTTTGGAAGGAACCAAGGCTCAGGGTACCCTGTGGAAGACTGACAGCTCCAGGCAGTCATGTTTCTACTGATCAGACGAAAGTTATAGACAGATGAATATTTTCTATTAAAATCAGACTCAATGCTTGCAAAGCACTGAAGCATTCTCTACAGATAAGGAAATATACACAGGAAGGTGAAGTAATTTTCAGATTACACAGAACTGAGCATAGTAATAAAATTGTAATGCCAATCTGACATGCTACAAAGTCTTTATCTCAGGATGGGGTTCAGAGAACATGAATTTTCTTTTTCTTTCTTTTTTTTTTTGGTTTTCCCAGACAGGGTTTCTCTGTGTAGCTTCGGAGCCTATCCTGGCACTCACTCTGGAGACCAGGCTGGCCTTGAACTCACAGACATCCACCTGCCTCTGCCTCCCGAGTGCTGGGATTAAAGGCGTGCGCCACTAACGCCCGGCCTCATTAATTTTCTTTACTAAACCATAACTTCTTTTTGTAAACACTTTTCCAGAATATTGTTTTAATTTGGTTTTTTGTTGGTGGTGTTGGTAGTAGTTTAGTTATTTTCATCAGAAATTGCATTAATTTACATTTCCAATAAATAAGTGTTGCTTCCTTCAAATGCTTGTTTAAAACTAGATTTCATCAATTTTGTGACTTTTTTTCAGTTTTGCTGTGTAAATAATCTCTCCAACAGATTTCATGGTTGTTTTAATTTACCTTCTATTATGTCAGAGAAGAAACTTCCCTCACACAGCACTCATCCCCTCATTCATTAGAGGAATATGCTTTTATGCTGTTTGCTATGATACAGGTTATGTAGGTGGCATAAGAAAACCAAAATGACAGCTTCTTTCTTACATAATAAAAAGCAATCACTTGTTACATTACTTTTCCTGTGGAGACAGGAACAATCTGGGTTGGTGGACAAATAAGTTTGTTGGGCTTACTTACAGTATGAGAGGGTATGGGGTTACTTACAGGAAGATGAATGACTCAAGAACAGCTCATCACTAAACATCCCAGTCCAGCACGGATGATGACCTCCTGACAGCTGCATAGATGGGGTCTCTCCCAGCTAACCTCTACCTCCTATGTAGTCTATCACCTCTCGTGACCATATGTAGTTGGACAGGAGTGTGTGCAGATGGGGAACAGGGTACACAGGAAGCAGTGAGAGATTGTAATGTAAGATGAGGTCCAGTTACCCTCACCCCACTCTGCCTAGGAGGGAATATCAATAGGCTGGATCATGTGAGGGTCTCTTGCCTATAGTTATAGTTGCTCTGTTCTGGTTTCAGGATAATACTGGCCAGGCCAGACCTAGAGTTCCACAACATCCCTGGGTCTGATTGCCATAGTAATTTCAGACATAGATTTGTCTTAAATCACATGATTTCACCATCTCCTAGTGTTATAATTACTAGTCTGACAAAAGTATTCCATGTTCCATTTCCTGGTGAGAAAGAGTGTTGGGGGAGGGAGGGTGGATTAAAAGCAAATAATGCACTGCTAAACAAGTGAGAAAGAAGTTGTAAATAGTATTTAAACTCACATTCTTTTGGCAGCAGCTCTAGTTACAGGGCCTCACATAAGTGCAAGAGAAATATAAAATATGCTTTCATCTAGCTGGATGGCCATCTGCCTAGCCTTTCAACTTAGCAAGAAAAGTGGGAATATGTTTGGAAGTTCAGCTAGCAGTCTAATGCTGTCTCCTTCTGTAGTTCTAGAGTTTATATCTATTTATCTTCATTTATGAGATCTTATGTACTAAGGATGTTTTTTCTCACTATATGTTCTAGTTGTGTTTCCAACATTTCTTCTAATTTTTTAGTTTTGATCACATATTTTTGAAGCTAATATAGTCAAATCCAATATTGTTTTTGTTTTGTTTTGTTTTTTGTAAGACTGATGCTTTAGAGATATTTTAGGTTCATAGCAAAACTGAGCAGAAAGTAAAGATTCCCCTACTCCACACAGGCTAACCTCTAGCCAGGCACTGTTTCCCACAAGTGTACTATATTTGTTGCAATTAATGCATTTACTATGACATATCATCATGCAGAATCAATAAGTCAGTACTGATGTTTTATGCTTTAGAGGTGTAGACAACAGTATGTATTCACCATTACAGTATCATACAGATTGAGCTATTGCCATAAACACACTTTGTGACCTATTTACTCATCTTTTTCTCCTCTCTAATCCCTGGCAAGCACTAATCTTCTCACTCTGTCCTAAGTTCCACATTGCCAGAAGGCCATGCAATTTGAACCATACAATATGTAACCTTTCCAGACTGGCTTCTTTGACTTAATAATATGCACTTAGATTACTTTAAATCTGTTCATGGCTTGATAGCTCATTGCTTTCATGTGCTGAATATTATTCTTCCTCTGGATGTATAACAGTTTATCCATTTACCCATTGAGGGTCATCATGGATGCTCCCAAGTTCTGGAAACTATGAATAAACTGCTATAGAAACACATGCTTCAGTTTATGTGTGGACTACTTAGTAAATGCAAAGGAATGTAATTTCCTGGGTCATATGGTTTTTTAAAAAGTTCAGTTTTTATAAGAAACTGCCAAACTGTCTTCCAAAATGACCATACCATTTGGCATTCTCATGGTAATGGATGAAGGGCCCTGTTGTTATTTGTTCTAACCAGTCATTGGAGCTGCCAGTGTTCTCAATTTGCACCATCCTGAGATGTACAGGATAATGGCATCATATCATTTTACTTCTCATTTACTCATTGGCATAGACCAAGAAACCTCTTTTCATATGTTTATGGTGAGGTATCTGTTCAGACCTTGTGCTTGGTTTTAAATCAAATTTTTGTTTTGTTTGTTTGTTTTAAATATTTTTTTATTTTAGAAGCACTCTTATTTTCATATCAGTCTCTCCATTCCCTCTCCCTTCCATCCTCCCATGCTCTCCACCGACCCCCCAACCCACCCCCCACCCACTGAATTTGAAGAATTCTTTGTATATTTTGGGAATCAGTCACATATTGGCTCTGATTTTGCAAATGTTTTCTTCTAGTTTTACTTATCTTTTGACTCTTGGTAGCCTCTTTCACTGAGCAGAAATATAAAGTATGTTTCAGTTAAAGTGTGAAGGATTTGTTTTTCAAGTTTAAAAAACTGTCTTCTGTCCAAAACAATGTTGTCTTTAAATTGACCTTAAATTTATTCCTTAATTTGTCTTTAAATTTATTCCTTAAGCAATTTGCTTTCTGGGCTTGGTAAGTTTTATTGATCTGTAATCTACAAATATCTTTAATAAAAGTTCTATAGCTACAAAAGAACATGGCTGGTGCATTGTAACAACTTTGGAGTTTCGTACTAATTTTTTCAGTTTAATGTGCTGATAAAACCTGAAGGAATTAGAAAATGCCTTCCACCTCACAGCAGAACTTAAAGTTTTGTTCCAGTCTTAGAGGACTGTTTGATGGGGCCTCTCTGGCATCATTCAGAACAGGAATGGCAGGAAATGTGTTTTTTGCTGATTGTTGAGTTGTTTCATTTGCTGAGCTTCCTCTGAAAGAAGCTGTGTACACGGGAAGAGGCTGAGGAAGTCCCAAGGAATCAAGAATGTCTCTGAAAACAGAGATACTTTCATGGAAAGTGTTTCTATTTTAGACTCAAATTTTCCACATGCTAGATTTTATTATGTGTGATATGATAGTGTAAATTCCTGTGGGTCAGAGTGAGGTAGTCTGCAGGCATAAGCCAGGCTGACCCTCTTCGAATATTCTCCACTGTACTTTACCCTCATCAGATGTCTTGAAAGCACAGTCATTAAAATTGTTACCTTATAAAATGTCTTCTGATGAGCTCCTAAATTGAATAGACAGACATCTATGTTGTTTTAAGTAGAAGCCACATAGCAAATCGGTGCATTTCAACAAGTCCCTTCATTAATTTGGGTTGACTCGGTAGTGTTTATGGAAATACTAAGTCGAGAAAATAAAAAGCATTCTTATTAAATATTTTACTAAATGTAATAGAAATTGAGAATTTATTTTAAAAAGAAGTTACAGCCGGGCATTGGTGGCACACGCCTTTAATCCCAGCACTCGGGAGGCAGAGACAGGCAGATCTCTATGAGTTTGAGGCCAGCCTGGTCTACAGAGTGAGTTTCAGAACAGGCTCCAAAGCAATACAGAGAAACCCTGTCTCCAAAAGCCAAAAAAGAGAAAGAAAGAAAGAAAGAAAGAAAGAAAGAAAGAAAGAAAGAAAGAAAGAAAGAAAGGAAAAGAAAAAGAATTTACCTTAATATACAGTATGGGTATATGATTATAGTTGGCTTGGACTTTTTCAATGTTAAAGACTGTTCAAAGTCTGTGTTAGCCAGGGTTGGTATCCATGCCTCTTATCCCATCATTTGGGAAGCAGAGGCAGGTAGGTCTCTGTGGGTTGTAGGCCAGCCTGGTCTACCGAGTTCCAGGACAGCCAGAATTACACAGAGGGTCTCAAAACAAAAATAAAAACAAAACAGCAACAACAAAAAAGACAAAAAGCAAAATCTATGTTAAATGATGAAAGTAAATGAACTTTGGAGTAACCTGTTTTCCAAGTCCAGTTCTTCCATTTGCCAGCCCTGTGACTTGGAGCAATTACTTAAACTTAATAAACTTTCATTTTCTTATCCAATAGTTATAATTGTGATCTCAGAATTGTTTTGATTGTAAATGAGTTTATGTGGGAGACACTTAGCGTATTGCATGATATACTTGATAACTGTCACTTCTATCTTAAAGTGAGAGGCACTGTCCACAAGCCTTTGCCATGCTTCCCCCTGAGAACACTTTATATGAGCATCTCTTCATTCTTCAGACCTTTTGCTATTAGTTTACACTTTACACTTTACAAATAAGGAACAAAGTGACCAGAGGGCTAACTTAACCACTGTCCTGTAACTAATGAGTGGCTACACTGAGATCCAAAAGAAAGTCCCTATTTTTAACCCCAGTGACACACGAGTTGTCGGAACAGAAAGGAGGAGGCAGATGTGACAGCCTCAGGTTAGAATTTGAAAGCCACTTGGAAGGAAAGGAGATAAATGAAGTCATGAGTGAGAGCTAAAGTAGAAGAGATGTTCAAGAGCCATGGTGCTGAGCGTCTGGGAGCAGATGAGAGCTCGGGCCGGAGAGTGACTAATGAGAGATAGTAAAGGAGAGTGGAATGTGTGAGTCATGCTGGGAGGTTTCCTTTTGGCAGCTGCACACTTGCATTAAGTACAAGAGAGAATAGATTGCCGAAGAGGCTGTCAAAGCATTTATGAGTGTAAGGAGAATTTTCCCACTTGGTTTGCTTTCTATTTATCTTATGCCTTTCTAGATTATTCCAGTCCAAAATATTTCAGATGCCACTCCCTTATTCTTACTCCATCCATATTTTAGGCATATTGTTATTATTATAGATTAAATTTCAGTTTTTATTAATCTCCATGATTTGTCATCCTCTCAGTCGGGGCCGCATGACCTTGTTCAAAATTGAAGTATTAGAAAAAAACAGTTTGAAATCAGGATGAAAAATTAAAGATGAGAAGTTCAGTTTGTTCAGGACAGTGCCTCACTGTACGAAGCTTACCCCCAGGATTTCCTGATACTACTTTAGAAAAAAACTAGCTTTAATATATTGGCATCAATATATTATTTTTCCTCTCTGCCTCCTTTTCTTTCTTTTTTTAATTTTTTATTAATTTATTTTTTACAGTCCAATCCCAGTTCCCCCTCCCTCCTGTCCTCCTGTTCCTCCTACTCCCCCTGCATCTGCTCCTTGGAGAGGGTAAGGCCTCCCCTTTTCCTTTCTTGAGGGGAAAATTTTTAAGGCAGCTAAGATCCTTCTCCTGAAGGCACTCACTGTTAGTGATCTAATACAATAAGGGCTGTGGTGAAAACAAGTACAAGAAGATTAATTCTCTGGCACAGAAGAGAAAGAGCCAGATGACTTTCAAGGGATGTTTGAGTTGACTCTTGAAAGCTTGTGACAGAGCTCAGAGAGGTGTTCAAAACAGAGCCAGCCAGGGTCAGAGTCCCTCAGGTCATTCAGAGTTGGAGACTCGGCAAGAGTAGGCCTGCAGACATTCAGCCTCTGCTACAGACAGATGTGACTTAGGGCCTTTTCTAAGAGAGGAATTGCAGTGTTATTACCCAGCTAGTGGACAGCTAATGTGTTCCTCCTGAAGAAGACTATGAAACAAGTATTCTGTAGAGTGAGGGCAAGATGGAAGACCAGCATGGGGGTGGGAGGGGGTACATTATACCTTTGTGGTTCTCCACATAAGGTAGGTTGCTTTCATTTAAGAGATCACTTGCTTTGGGCTGTTTTCCTCTCTTTGGGGTTACTATGTTATGCCTCCATTGATTCTTTCAGTGGCACCAGACATTGTTCCATGTTCCGTGTGTTGTGCTTGCTTTATTGCTGTTTTCTCTTATGATTTACCTTAATGGTATAAGCAACTTCCTTACAGGTTGCTACAATTAAAACAATCACATAGCTACCCTTTGCATGGTAAGCTGGGAAAGCACACATACAACATTAGTAGAGGCAGTCCATAAAAAGCAAGCTAAGGATACTTTTGCTATATAATCTCCCTTTTTTTTGTTTGTTTGTTTGTTTTTCAAGTTAGGGTTTCTCTGTGGCTTTGGAGGCTGTCTTGGAACTAGCTCTTGTAGACCAGGCTGGTCTTGAACTCACAGAGATCTCCCTGCCTGTGCCTCCCGAGTGCTGGGACTAAAGGCATGCGCCACCACTGCCCAGTTTATATAATCCCTTTTTTTTTTTCACTCATCTAGTTTATTTCTATGTTTATTTCTCTTTTATCTTTTAATCCAATAATTTGTCTTCAAAGAGGCCAATATTTTTAAAGATTATAATTCTGCATTGTTATATTTGACATATATATTAAAATTTTATGAAAAATAAGCTTCATCTTCAGTTTTCAATTGGTGTTTGTATAGAATAACCATCTCAGACGTTAGCTGTGGTCCTGGCTAGACTTATGTCAACCTGCCAGAAGCCAGAGTCAGGGAAGAGGAACTCCCAATTGAGAAAATGACTCAATAAGATCAAGCTGTAGTCAAGTCTATAAGGTATTTTCTTAATTAATGATTGATGTGGGAGGGCCTAGACCATTGTAGGTGGTGCAACTTCTAAGCTGGTGCCCTGGGTTCTAGAAACAAAGCAGGCTGAGCAAGTCATGTGAAGCAAGCCCGGTAAGCAACCCTTCTCCATGCCCTGTGTCAGCTCCTGCCTCCAGGTTCCTGACCTGCTAAAGTTCCTTCCCTAACTACTTTCAATGGTGCTGCAAGTATGAGTGAAATAAACCCTTTCCTCCCCAAGTTCTTTTGCTCATGGTGTTTCATCATAGCAATAGAAATCTTAACCAAGACAGCACTGCACAAGGGACTAAAGTTCTACAGAAGGATCATTTACTTTGTTCTGCAGCATGTTTGTTTGCATATTATTATGCAGCATTACATCTTGTGCCAGAGGTATAATCTGTTATTGTGCATTTCCTTTGTTTTCAACCTAAGACATTAACATTTTGAGTCAAATGGGAATTGTTTAATTTACTTAACTAGAAACTTTTCAGTTATAGTAAGTTTCTTCAAATTTGCTCAGCAGTAGCATGATTTGATGCAAGCAACTTGGATAGCTCATTTTTTCTTTAAATACTTGGTAAGTTCCTGCTATATTCCTGGGAGGATAGAAAGAAGAATCACCAGGAATTTATATTTTAAGATAGGCTGTCAGTCCGGCAGATGGCTCAGTGGGTAAAGTACTTGCTGTGTAAGCATGAGGACCTGAGTTTAGGTTCCCAGTACCTGGGTGTGGCATCTCATGTCTGTAATGCCAGAACTCTGAGGGAAGACTGATGGGTTCCAGGGGCTCACTGGCCAACCAACCCAGCTGAAACAGCAAGCTCTGGGTTCAGCGAGAAATCCTGTTTCAAAATACAAGGGTTACAGCAACAGAAGAAACCCAAGAAACTCCTTCCCAAATGCACATGTATAGGTGAGCATTGACACACACAAATTTAAAACTAATGAATAAAAGTAGGTTCTCTGTGTGAAAATATAAGCAATTGCTAACCTTAATAAACAACAATAAACTGTTCACCCATAAATACAAGGAAATATACTCCCAATAGGTAAATAGGTGAATGGATAGATGGATAGATGAATAGATTGACAGATAGAAAGATACCTTCTATGATTAATGATGATTTGATAGCATATGTCTAAAAGTATGTTAACTTTTTAAAAATAAAGGTTGACAGATTGGCGATGGACTTAGAACGGAACCGGAATTTGAACAATACCATAGTTCATGTGGACATGGATGCTTTCTATGCAGCTGTAGAAATGAGAGACAATCCGGAACTGAAGGATAAACCCATTGCTGTGGGATCAATGAGTATGTTGGTAAGTAGGCAAAGAGCAAAGCAGAAAGGGAATTTCATAGGCTAGTCAGATTAGCTTACTGAGCCTTGGAAGTTTGCTTACACATGCTCAGTTACTGAATCCTTTCAATATAACTGATCATACTGATTTTTATTTCCACTTGAGAAAAAGGAAAGCAAACAGAGAGAGATAAGTAATAACTTGACCAAAGTTAAAAATTCAATAAAATAGCATAGTAGCATTGTAGCCTTCCATTGCAAAGTAACTTTTTCAAAAGGGTTCTAGGAGAGTTGAAAAAGAAAAAGCAAAGGAAATGTTGTGTTAAGCCAGAGGTTTTGAAACTACCTTTCAGACCAAGTTTAGCCTGTCATCATTTTTGTTTTGTAAAGAAACTATTAGGGCAAAGAAGTTATGGCCACTTATTTATTACTGTCACACTAGAAGAGCACAAGTGAATAGAATTGAATAGTTGCTAAGAAAACACATCTGCAAAACCTCAAGTGATTATTTACTCTCTGAACTTTCACAGAAAAGGTTTGACAACCCCTATTCTAGAATAACATAGTTAATTAATATATCTAGAGTGCAATTAATTTTCCTATAACTCAGAATCATTTGTTTTTATGACTATAAAGCTGACTTTTTTCTGTCCTAAATCAGGGTAAAGGTAACAGGAGCTATGCCTGTGGCAGAAAACATAATAATTAAAAGTAGCAGCCCATTTACAGCCGTACGACCCAAACGCACCACATCTTATCTAAAAATAGCAGCTAGAATCGATAGGTATTTGTATTAGAAAAACAAGGAGAGTTCCTTCCTGTTTCTGACTTTAGTTTATACAAAGTTCAGTAAGGGTGAGTTGGCTCTGTTTTTCTGGGATAAGTTAGCCCTATCTAACATGGGAAATTCAAGATGGATTCAATCATGTCTAGTACTTCTACAGTGGTGATTAAAATGGCTTCTGCATCAAACTTCCTTATTTCCATGTGATGTCTTGTCACTGTTATAATATACCCTTTTAATATGCTCTAAATGCTTTTTAGTGGTTGCAGAACTATAAAAATCAAAAGTAGAAGCTGCAAGTTCTTAAGACTAAGGCCTGGAGACAAACAGCATCATTTCCTTCTAGTTCTTTCAGTTTAACTAAGTCATCAGGAACTTGGCATGAGGAACTAGACTCTACCTTCTGATAAGAGTAAGTGTAGGAACAGAGGAGATGGTTCAGTGGTTAGGTGTACTGGCTGCTCTTCCAGAGAACCTGGGTTCAATTCCCAGCCCCACATGGCAGCTCACAACTAACTGTAACTCCAGTTCTAGGAAATCTGACACCCTCACACTGGCACACATGCAGGAAAAATCACCAGTGCACACAAAATAAAAATAAATAATTTTTAAGTGTAATTGTAGAAATATTGTAGCTGAGCTGGACAGTGGTGGTGCATGCCTTTAATCCCAGTACTCAGGAGTCAGAGGCAGGAGGATCTCTTGAGTTTGAGGCGAGCCTGGTCCACAGAACAAGTTCTAGGACATCCAGGGCTACACAGAGAAACCAACCCTGTCTCAAAAAAAAAAAAAATCCAACAAACAAACTAGACAGACAAATAGACAGACAGACAGATGGTGGCTACTGTTTACAGTGTACTACAAAACCAAAATCTGAGGAACTCACGCTTCATAAAACTTCTTCAATAGATGTAGCTTTCCTATCAGCTTTGTAAGATTTACTTAAAATTAATAAATTGTTATTTTATGTATATGAATGTTTTGCTTACTTGTATGTCTGCACCACTAAATAAATGCACCTGGCGCCTGCAGAGGCTGAAAGAGAGCATTGGATCCCCTGGAAATGGAGTAGCAGATGGTTGTGGGCTGTGCTGTGGGTCCTGGGAATTGAACCCAGGTCCCTGCAAGAGCAGCCAGTACTTACTCTTAAGCACTGAGCCATTTCTGGCCCCAAGATTTACTGATTTTACTTTAAGTATTGCTTTGCCTTTATAGTGCTATCTGCACTTTTTCTTGTAGAGCACTGAACAAGGATCAGGATAGTTGGGAGTACTACCAAGAATTTTTTAAGAAATCTTTTCAAAATGATTAAAGGAAATCTAATGTGCTGTGCGGTTGTTGTTTTTTTTTTTTCCCCTGAAATAATTCTTTCATTTGATACATCTGGCTTGCATTTCTCTGAGCACTCATTCACATTCCAAATAAAGGTCCCATTCATTATTAAACTTGGCTATAAATGATATTATGGTTTTCCACTTTGACTAGGAACACTGGCAAATGCCATCATGAACAGCATTTATTAAATTTTATCACTTTTTCATTCTCATACTTTTTAGTCTCATTTCCAAGCCAAAATGTTTTTGCCAAAAACTTCGGGCTTTAAGAAATAAAACTCAAATTTGAAGATCTTTTTTAATTTTTAAGCACTTCATTTTAGAGGCATAATTTTCCTGACCAGATAGCAGACCTTTAATTTTTTTGTTTTAGATGAAAAATTTCCAGATAAAGCAAATTCTTGATGTATACTACTACTTGAGCATAGTTAATCCCAGATATGAAATATATCAATAAAATTTTTGGATTTGGAGCCTTCACCTGCATGCACATGAATACATGTACACACATAAACACAAAAATATTTTGAATTCTGGAAGATTTTGGATTTCAGACTTCTGATCAAGGATGGTTAACTGGTAAAAATCTATGTAAATATTCCCAAATCTGAAAACTCAAGTCTGAAATACCTCTGGTCCCACACATTTTAGACAAGATCCTTTTCCTACATTCTATTTATAAATATACTTTATATATGAATATACTAATACTTTCTATACTGTTACTTTGTATAACAAATGTTATAAATATCTCTTATTAGTTTGTAACTATTCCATATTATTTAATATTAGTTTCATAGAGCATCTACTATCATCCAGACTTAGATATATATTACAGAATAACTTAGAGCCATTTACGTTTAATTACTAGAAAAATTTTTTTAATTATTAAGGCCATTGTTTGTTGTGTAGAACAGGTTGACCTTGAACCTCAAACTAGTAGTTTTCCTGCCTTAGTTTCTTGGTGGCTGGAATTACAGATACCCACCACCACACCTATTGTAAAAAAAAAAAAAAAAAAAAAAATCATTAGTTCAAGCCTACTTATTACCTGGTACCATGTTATAAATTTAGAAATAACAATGAGACAGGGTCATGGTTTTTGAAGAAAGTCAAGATGTGGTTCAAGACAGTGGCTTATAAAAGAAATGCCCTTGAATTGAAAGTGCACATCAGTAATGTGTTTCTTATGAATGCACTGATCAATATGTCCATTTAGGGTTGTTTATTTTCCTTATGCGGTCCATTTTCTTTCAGTCTACTTCAAATTACCATGCAAGGAGGTTTGGTGTCCGTGCAGCCATGCCAGGATTTATTGCTAAGAGACTCTGCCCACAACTTATTATAGTGCCCCCAAACTTTGACAAATATAGAGCTGTGAGTAAGGAGGTAAGTAAATGTCTTACCCCAAGCCCTTTTACTGGCTTTCTGTCACCCAGACTCAACTCCACATGCCTTACACTGTCAAGATTTGGTCTCTGCTATAGGGACTAGTGAACTGTTTATAGGATCCAGAACATACTCTGTTTCCCAACTCATTGCCTTCCATGTATTTTTCATCTGCTCTCAATTTCACAATTCTCTACAATTTCTCAGAACTTTGTAAAGCTTTAACAATTATAGCATAAAGTTAATTTTCAGTCTTTTTCTAGATATATATAAATTTTAGAACAACCTAATATTCCTAGTTTATAGAACCTACTCATCATTAATTTCAATCTATTCTAAATTAAATTTATATAATTTGTTGTTTTTCGTTTTGTTCCAGCCTGGCCTGGAAGTCACTATGTCACTGTGGAACTCAGGCTGGCTTGGGTCACCAAGCCTGTCTCTGTACTTTGAAACAGAAACAAAATTCACTTAGTGTGGCTAGTTACTTTGCTTACTTCATAATCTTATAGAGCTGGTTGACCATGTTTTGTCCAAGAAATTTTAAAAAGGGGTGGAAGAGAATATAGTGCTTTGCTTTGAAAAGAATATAGTGATTTGTGTATATACTAAAATTCTGAACTGTCCTAGTTGAAAAAGTATCATTTCTTCCATTTTCATTAAGAGTGGTCAATCTATCACATAGTGTAGGGGGCTTAATTCCTTGGTTAAAATCTAGAGTGCTGCATGTGCATCACTTTTAGACTGCTATTATAAAGTGAAGTCTGTCATAGAATACTGTGTGAGCATGACTTATAAATCCTGTGCTGTAGAGACAGGAGCATCAGGAGTTCAAGGCCAACCTTGACCACTCAGGAACTTTGAGGCCAGCCTGAGCTACATGAGACCTATCTCAAAAAAGAAAGAGAAGAAGGAGAAGGCAACAGTCTAAATATAAATACTAAAATTATGGCATACTCCTTTTTTAAAGGTGTATTTTTTATTAGTTTGTAATTGCACATATGTATCTGTGCCTGTGTGTGGTAGGCACATTTGTGTAGATGCCTATGGAGACAGTAGATTTCCTGGAGCTAGACCTAGAGGTAGTTGTAAGACACCTGACCTGGGTGCTGGTAGCTGAACTCTGGTCCTCTGGAAGAGCAGTGTGTGCTCTTAATTGCTGAGCCATCTCTCTAGCCCTGGCACAATACTTACTGTCATTTAGATATGCAAGTGAGCTTTAAATTCCCTTACTTTTATTCTACCTCATTTTCCCTAGAAATATTACCCCCATTTTAAAAGTTTTATTCATTCAAAAACAGTCTATTAAATCAGTTGCTTTGTGCCTACTTTTGAAAAAGTGGTAGGCAAAGAGAACATACCTTCAATAATTTTTTCTGTATTCATAGTTAGAAATAAATAGCACCATAAATACAGGCTTTGATAATTGAAAATCTTATGAAGATTTGTAAGAAAGATTTTGAATCCTACTGTAGTTCAGTAAAACTTATGACAGTATGACATGAGAACTGAATTATTTTTAGTTATTTACATAAGTGGAAAATCTTCAAATTTGAGCAACATCTCGCTAGTTAATATAGCAAATGAGTTTTACATGTAATTGCAGTGTCAATGCATTAATGTTTCTGGCCTGATTAATAAGTTTAAGGGGAATCAATTTCTGTTTTGTCCAGATATTTGAATAACTTTACCGTTCTTAGATCTAAGTGCTTGGTGTTTATGGGAACAGTCTCTTTTCATTCCTGTGGCAGTATCCTATGGAAAGGAAGTGAGAAGTACCCAGCCATGCCTCCAGGGAGCACTTCTCATTCAGAGTCTTAATGGGCTGCCAGGCACAAATTTGCAAAGTTTTCACTAGAAAGATACCATCACATCTGTTACAGAACGCTTTCTTCTGCAAGAACAAAGCTATTTAAAGCACTCTGAATAAAAGTATGGCAAGTTTTACATCACCACTTTCTAAAATTCCCCTCAGTTGCTCATGATTATGTTAAGAAGGAGCAGTTTCTTTTTTATAAAACAAAAGGTTTTCTAATGATATGATACAAAGCTTTTAAATGTTAGATGAAGAGTAACAATTCAGCAAAGATATTTTCTATTAAATAGGCTATGTTGAGAATCATTCTCTCTTATTTCAGCTAATTCTTTGGTAGTTAAAAAACAAACAACAAAAGGACTCCACTGTTTCATGTAATAAAGCTAGCCCATATAAAAGGTATTGCTGAATTATATTAACTGTAATTCTAATCTGTGTATTTCTTTCATGTCATAAAGCAACTCCAATTTTTCATCTTCAGCTTAATACAAGCATGTAGTTATTCTATAGATGTACCATCTTTTCCAGTCCAGATTCCTGTGAATAGTAGAGCTTTATTTTATATAAATATCTTTCATGTTCTAATTAATGGAAATATACTGCTCTCTAAAACATGGTAGTACTTTAGATTCTGTTTTGAAATGAACAAAACTCTTCACAAAAGAGATGAGAGAGAATACTATCATGCACACTCATCCTTTGAATAGCTACAATAAACCTTGATCACTTTTTTTTCTGTTCCTACCAGAATATTGTATGAGATTTGTTTGACTTGCTTAGTGTTTCTAGATATAGGATGCTGGATTCAGATTGCATCAGATGAAGCTATTTTATGGTCTTCTGTCTTCATGATCTATTTTAGTGCAAAATAGAATTTGACAAATATCCACTGGTAGTAAATTATTTATTCCCTAAATTCGTGAGCTATTGATTGCAGGATCATTACTATAGTTGCAAAGTAAGAATATTAGTGCTTTTTATCAGATACATAAGACAGGAGGTTTTGCTGTGGTAGCAAAATTTAAATTTTGTTGTTGTTGTTCTTTTTGAAGGTTAAGGAAATTCTTGCTGAATATGATCCCAATTTTATGGCCATGAGTCTGGATGAAGCCTACTTGAATATAACACAGCACTTAGAGGAAAGGCAAAATTGGCCTGAGGACAAAAGAAGATATTTCAACAAAATGGGAAATTCTATAAAAATTGGTAAGCAATTTATTAGAACTACCAACCAAATACTAACAGAAATCAGCTCTTTAAATCAACCCAATTAATTCATTTGATTGTATGAAAAAATCAGAAACTTAAAATATACCAGTGGGGTTTTTTAAATTAAGTATGTACAGCCTCTTTAAAATCAGATGAGAATACTGGCTCTCCAGGCTTAAAGAATCTGCACAGGTCTTCAGGGTAGTTGCAGACCAATTCTTTTCTTAATATCAAAGGGCTTAGATTACATTGAAGCAGAGGAAGTTCCTGTTGAAAGTGTCTTTGTTGTTGTTGTTATTCTTGATAGAAATCAGATTTAAAAAAAAAAAAAGGTTAGCCCCAAACACACTAAAACCTTTGGTGATTTTATTTTTCTTTGTTTCTTGGACTTTCCATAACCTAGTTCTAATACAATAATGTGACTGTTTCCAACCCTGTGAGAATTTATGACCTCTCTCTCTCCCTTCTTCACCATATACCTTACTATAACTCATAGTAGGGGATGGAGGTAGCAGTGACCCTCAGTGTCTGCTCTACCACTTTAAAGTAGAGCTTATCTTTTTATTATTATTATTCTTTTTATTTTCTGAGTCAAGGTCTCTTTCTAAATCTAGAGCTGACTGGTTTTCGGGTAAGCTCTGGGGATTTGTTCTCATTGTCTGTACCATTGCCCCTGGCCTCTGAGTCCTGTGTCCTAGCTTTTATGCAGGTATTGTAGATCTGAACGCAGGTCCTCAAGCTTTCTTGGCAAGCACTTTGTCCACCAAGGCATTGCCCAGACTCTTCTGTACAACTAAAGGTTTATTGCTCCACAAATCTTTCAAGCAGTCCTTTCTTTCTTATGTCATTTATCCAGAGCATTCAGATGCTTCACAGTCATTCTACTTTCAGTTCCTTTGCCAAAAGTGCTATTTCTTCAAGTGTCTGACCTGTCTTGAATCCATGAACAAAGTCCGCCCAGCTGAAAAGGTGCCCTAAAGGGATCCACTCACAAATAGCAGCCACATTTCTTGTGTGTAACTTATTCATAACCTCAAAGGGGCTAGGCAGTGTGGGGGGAAACATTAGTAATATTCCTTGAACAAAAATGGTGAATGTTAAACTGGGCATTGGTGGCACACGCCTTTAGTCCCAGTACTCAGGAAGCAGAGACAGGCAGATCTCTGGGAGTTCAAGGACAGCCTGGTCTACAAAGTGAGTTCCAGGACAACCTCCAAAGCTACGCAGAGAAACCCTGTCTTGAAAAACAAAAACAAACAAAACAAAAATGGTGGATATACAATGGCATCGAATTTTTTCTTTTCCCTGTCTCTGTCTCTGTCTCTGTCTGTGTCTCTCTCTCTCTCTCTCTCTCTCTCTCTCTCTCTCTCTCTCTCTTTTGCGGTTTTGTTGTTATTTTTTTGAAACGGGGTTTTTCTACATAGCCGTGAGCCCTGGCTGTCCTGGAACTCACTCTGTAGACCAGATTGGTCTGAAACTCACAGAGATCCTCCTGCCTCTGCCTCCCCAGTGCTGGGATTAAAGGTATACACCTTGCCCTAGGCATCAAATTCAAAGCCTCCCTAGACTGTGTATTTGCAGGATATTGGAAGAGTGGCAAATAACTGATAGATCCTTCTTTAAAGCCAGACATTTTTCTATTTGCATTCCATGAAAGATTCTTTGTCCCTAGAAATATGTGAACTGATGTCTTTATTTGCAAATAAAATAATAACCATTGTTCTATGTTTGCTTTGCCATGCGAATCTAGCTGGCAAGTGTCAGGCTATGTAAGAAACTCAAATACTGCATACTTGAGTGTCTGCAATCCAGAAGAGTGCTCTAATCTAGCTTTGTGCTCTCATTGCTTCCGTTATGGAGATGGTGAAGGGATTTCATTCAGGAGGAAGAAACCACTTACCTAGTTAGTTATGAAGCCAGGCCACAGGGAAGTAAAACACAGATGGGATGAAAAAGATGTCTGTGTCCATCTGCAGCAGCTCTGACAGTGTTCTAGAGGTGGCATGCTTTGCTTCCTTGAGTAGAGGATGCCAGTGTGAGTCACTGCAGAGAGGCTGCTATGAGGCCATCAGTGTGTCACTTCGGAGAGGCTGCAGTGGGTTCCCTGTGAGGGCGCCAGTGTGAGTCACTGCGGAGAGGCTGCAGTGGGTTCCCTGTGAGGGCGCCACTGTGAGTCACTGCAGAGAAGCTGCAATGGGTTCCCTGTGAGGGCTCCAGTGTGAGTCACTGCAGAGAGGACTTGGGACCTGGACTGGTATATACCTGGCCTGTATTTTGTCTACAGCTCTTTCTCGATTATTCAGCAATTGGAAGAAAGGGCTTCTGGGTGACCCTCATTCAGCCCCATCCTTTTGTTCCTCTCCAAGTTTCTCTAAAGTTTAAAAATCAGAATGTGAAAATGGAAATGACTTGAAGCACAGATATAGTAAAAATAGGTTGTGTTATGTATGTGACCTGTGAATTAAATTTGGGAAACTTCTATCTATAAATTAATTCATATCCTGTAATTAAAGTTTGAAACTAATCAAGTGTCTGTTACATTATTTACATGTCTTTAGACATTTTTCCAAAGACCAACTTCATTTTTTAAGTGCCTTCAACTACGTCTTGAAATTTAATAAAGCTCAGTATGCTTTCATACCTATAATCCCAACATTTGAAGGCTGAGGCAATAAAATTAGAAGTTCAAGACCAGCCTGGGCAGGGTATGTAGTTAATTTAAGGCTAACCTGGGTTAAAAAGAAAAAGAACCCAAACATTTAATTGTTGCTTTTGCATTTCCCTTAATTTGGGAAATACACGTTATGAAATGGGATCAGAAAACTCTGTTATTAATCTTATAAATATATTTAAATTGTTTTACCTATTTTAAGCTTAGAGAATAGTTTTTATGGAATTGTTCTTGCAAATATTTTTAGTAATGGTATCAGGATAGTATTTTATACTATACTTGAAAAATGGGCATAAACTAATAACTAGTTGGTTATTTTGTGGTTTTTTGTTTGAGATGTGTTTGTTTGTTTGAGATGGGATCTCACTATGTACCCCAGGATAAGCACAAACTTGTCATCCTCCGAAGTCTCTGGGTACCAGGATGACAGGCAGGCTCCACTATACCCAGCTACTTTCCTTTTTAATAATAACATTTTCCAATGTACTGATAATTATACTTTTTTTCATTAAATTTGAACCTTCAAGTATTGGATTAGACTGAGAATTTGTATAAAGAAGTTCAACTTTCAGGAGTAATTTCCACTTATAGCAAATGCACTCTCAGTGAAAATAGTGTTTTTTAATAAGCAAGTTAAAAGCATGCTGCATGATGGTGGGGCACACCTTTAATCCCAGCACTTGAGAGGCAGAGGTAGGTAGATCTCTGTGAGTTCGAGGCCAGCCTGGTCTGCAGAGTGAGTTCTGGGACAGCTAGGGCTACACAGAGAAACCCTGTCTCCGCAAAGGAAAAAAAAAAAAAAAAAAAAAAAAAAAAAAAAGGTGAATCATTTGAAAAGAGACATTTGAGAGTATTTTAACATTTTTAAAGTTTCTTCCATGAATAAAGAAAAATTACGTTTTTCCTCCTGCAAAACAAAATTTAATTTAAATTTAATTTTGGTTGCAATTACTCTTATTAATGTTTTTTTTCTCCTCATTCCTAATTTTAACTTAAGAAGGATCTTTTTCCCCTTAGAGAAGAATACAGTGAAAAATAACTTTTTTCCTAATGAAAATGTAATGGACTTCCAAAGTTAAACTATTTCCTTTAAAATACTGGCTAAAGAAATGGATAGTGTTCCTTTAAGGGAAGCCTGACAACATTTTCTTTATTAAATAGTTACAAAGATAAATGATAGCTTCCTTATCTTGGTTCCTAGAAACAAAGCTGAATTTGGTTTGTTTTCAGCAGTGTAGGAGAGAGGTGGGCACCAATATCTGTAATCCCACTCTTAGAAGACAGGAGCATCAACCATCAGGCGCTTAAGGCTAATGTGAGCTCCGAGGTCAAGTGAGGCAGGCCTGCGTGGCCTCCTAGACAGTTTCAAGCAGACACTCACAGAGAAGGAGGTGGGCAGGAGAAAGAGAAAAACAACAGAGGGATTGGGAAGGGGAAAGGCGTTGAAAAAAGTGAAAGAATGGAGAGAAACCTAACTTAAGAAGTGCGTACCCCTTAAAATGAAGGTGACTTGCTGTTCCTGTTTGAGATTCAGATAAACCGGGTGAGGAAGCTAACAGACTGAGTGAAGATGAACGATCCATCTCCCCACTGCTTTTTGAAGATAGCCCTCCTGATTTGCAACCACAAGGAAATCCTTTCCAGCTGAACTCTGAAGAACAAAACAGTCCTCAAATATTCCAAAATTCGGTTGTTTTTGGAACATCAGCTGAGGAAGTGGTAAAGGAAATTCGCTTCAGAATTGAACAAAAAACAATGCTGACAGCCAGTGCAGGTATTTATGGGTTTATTCACGGCCTCTGGTAGGTAAGCCATACTGACTAATTCCACACTACAAGCAATATCTTGTTCCTTGTTGTAAAGTAAATGGTATAATATTTGATTTGGCTGCTAGCAACTTTTATGTACTGAGGCTGGTTAAACCTACAAGTAAGCTGTAATTAAGTAAAAAAAAGCCTATGGTCCAAGGCGCAAAAAAAAAAAAAAAAAAAAAAAAAAAAAAAAAAAAAAAAAATCATAAATCTAGAATAGTGATCCTTTAAGTGAAAAATATATTTTAGTTGGATTTGTACAGAATATAGATTGGCACTTGTCCTAGATTTCATTGTAGGAGAGAACCTAGAATACACAAGGTTGGAGAACTCCCCCCACACTCCCACCAAGAAAAAGATCAATTTGCAGCATAGCAACTTAAGAGCATCTGATGAGAAAGCAAAGGCAACAAAGTCCCACCATTTTACCTATATCATTGACTCCTAAAAGCATCACAGGGCCTTATCATAGGAACTAATAATAGTTACCACCACGTATCACAATGTGATAAATTGACACATTAGTGTTGTGATTAGGGTAATGTTTTCTATTCCGTAGGATAAGCATGCATAATCGGCTTTAGGAAAATATCTATAAAAACCAAAATGAACTATTAACCAATATGTCTAGATATACCTACTATAAATTGTCTTAAGACTACTGGAAATTGTAAAACAGTGTGTGGTGGTTTGCTTTGTGAGTAACAATAAAGATTAAAAGTTTTTATTGTTGTTGCTTTTAATATAAGTCAGAATATTTATATTTTGAATGTGAAAATTTACATTCATAAAAGCTTTCCTTAAAGTAAGCATCTGTAATAAACCATACTCTAGATCTTTTCTGAGAAATAAGTAAGGGTCCACCACAAAGCAACCCTGTATTCCCAGTACAGTTATAAGTAAAGTACTGACACTTAATATTACTCAGTTCAAAAGCTACACTTGGATTTTAAAATATGGAGACTCAAATTTTTCCTGCTGCTATAGCTAATATCTTCCCTTTCCCTAAAGCCACAGAAAGCCCTGGGGAGATTGTCAGCAGCCAAATGTCTTTTTTTGGGGGGGGGGGGCGTTGGTTTTTTGAGACAGGGTTTCTCTGTATTACTTTGGAGGTTGTCCTGGAACTCACTCTGTAGACCAGGCTGTCCTTGAACTCACAGAGATCCACCTGCCTCTGCCTCCCGAGTGCTGGGATTAAAGGCGTGTGCCACCAACGCCCTGCTCAAATGTCATTTTAAAAGTAGCATTATGTGTCACTTCAGATTATTTGTATTTAACTTTCATTTTCTTATCTCATAATTAATTTACACATAGCAACTTCTTGGAATGATTAAGTGTTCTTCTTTTGAAGGTATTGCCCCCAATACAATGTTAGCAAAAGTGTGCAGTGATAAGAATAAGCCAAACGGACAATACCAAATTCTCCCCAGCAGAAAAGTGGTGATGGACTTCATCAAGGACTTGCCTATTAGAAAGGTAAGATTTTATATGAAATTATCATTTGTGCATATACTCTGAATTCTAGAGAGGTGTGAGATGGATAGCAACTGTTCTTTGCTGAATAGTTTTAAAATAATGGATGGCAGGTGAGAACTTTGCTGGGTGACTGAATGTTCACTTAGAACCCTGAAAGTCATGTTCAGTGAGCTTATCTGCAGGAGAGTTTAAAGTAAATAAGACACGGTACACTTTTTTTTTGCGGGGGGGGGGGGGGGGGGGGGGGGGGGGCTCTTCTGTGTTTCTTAGGG